CTCAGATGACTTGAGATTTAATCCCTCAACACCTTCAAAATTATGTCACCTCCAGCATAGACTTCCTCTGTGTAACCTTAGACTGATAAACCCGTTTTTCCCTGTCTTTGTTTTCTTCAATACTGTTTCCATTTATTTTTGTAAGCACTGCTGGGGCTGTGTTGATAGAATCCAAATGTGGTGACTCCGATGGTCTTAATGATGAGAAGACTTTGTTATAAAAATATTTTCCAATATTTTCCATCATTCTTTTATTGTCTTCCTTCCAATTTCATCTTTTATGCCCTCTGAATGATTCTACTTAGTTGAGTTTCTTGTCACACTAACTTTAAACTTTTTTCTTTCTACTTCTCATTGTTTTGAGTCAATATTGTTCATAATCTTCCACCATCCATCTCTGTAAGAAGATTTTGTCTGCTTCCCAAGCTTCAGCCTAGCTAAGTAGGTAGACACTCTTTACCAGACACTTGGTAGTGAATTATTTGACCATGGCAACTCATAAAGCAAAGAAAAAAAAAATACAAAATGGCCCCTGTTCTTGGATCTGCAATGATAATGGCAGAAAAGGGGCCAGAAGGTGCTAGAATTCATGCAGTCCTAAAAGGACCTTCTTTAAACATTAGCTTTGTAATTTGTACTCTAAATGTAAAATTTGCGTGTCAGATAACTGAGTAAATATACTATGGCAATAATTGAATCATGTCGATCTTGATTTTCTAATTATAAAGTAAGAAGATAGAAGGATGTTTCAGCTAATTGGAAAGATAGCTTATAGGCTGTCCTTGGAGAGGCAAACAAAAGAATCGGCAGTTTTATCTTACATTCCAAAAAAACAAAAAGCATCAATTCATGTGACATTTGGCTATTTCCTATTACAATGCTTATAGATAAATATTTGGTTAGATTAAAAAGCAACCACAATGAAAATAATTACAAATTATGGGCCAACATTTGTTGGTAGAGCATAAAGAAGTAGGAAAATTCTATTCAGAATTTGAGTGGATCATCCAAGTTAAATGGCAGCTAACATTTACAGATCTGTTTAATTTATGCATATATTGTCTACTTGGATCCTCACAAATAATCTTATGAGTTAGGTGATATTATAATCCCCATTTTTCAGGTGAGGCTGAGGTGATAGTGACTTACCCAGGGTCACATTGGTAGTAAAAATCTGACAGGATTTTAATTCATTTCCTTAGGACTGCAAATGTAGCACTCTATCCACTGTACCACACTCCCCCTAAATCAACATTTCGATACTACTTAATCATGAAATAAGATAATATCAAAGGCTTAAGAACTCATCGGTTTGTTAGATAACCATGACTCCAGTGAGAGACTGGCAATGGAGAATGAGGCATACTTTTTCTTACATAGCCAAGCTGTAGATCTCTTTTTTATTATTTATTTTTAGAAGGGAAAGCATTTAATTTTGTTTTGCTTTGTTTGGGGAAGGGGTAGTAATAGCAATGCCAAAAGAAAGGGGGGGGGTGAACTAATGAAACATTTATAGCATATACAGAAGAGACAGAAGAAGTTCCAAAAGATATTAACAGAGAAGTATTGGAGTTACAGTTCTAAATATTCTATATACTTGTAAAAAAAAATAAATAAGCTTGACATAGTTTCATATGTGATTTTCTTTTCATGATTATGTTTATTGGTAGTTATCTGAGTTAATAATTTTGTAAATGTTTTTCTTAATCTGGGGCTGCAGGAGGGAGAAGGGGAAAGAAATAATGTTGACAGATGAGCTGCACTTACATTTAAAGACCTTCCCAGACTTAGGGCTGAAGTGAAAAGTTAATTGTTCTACAGTTTGCTTTCCTTGTAAAAGCGTTTGGGGAGATATAGCATAGAGATGACAAAGTTGCCAGACCTGAGACCAGGGCAAAATGAGATGAAGTGATGAGATGGATATTATTTACAACTAGTTGGACGAGAATGAGATTTTTACACTACGGATAGATGGCATTAGGAAAAGCCAGAGGCCATGTGTCTTTGTATAGAAAAAGCTGGCCTGACTCAGCAGGACCTAGGTTTAAGTCCCACCTTTGGTTCATCCTGGCTGAATCTCCCTGGAGATATCATTTAACCTTCCATGCCCCGAGCAACTCTCTTGAGACTACAAGTTACAAAACATTTATAGAGGTACATCAGTCATTTCCTTATCAAGAGTTTCCTATACAAATGAAATCACAGGTCCTATCCCATCTTTATTGGGCGAAAAAAACAGCTAAGTTGAGAGGAAACACATTATGTTGGTAGGACTAAATAGTGAAGGGATCAGGGCAGCTAGGTGGGGCAGTGGATAGAGCTCCAACCTTGGAGTCAGGAGGACCTGAGTTCAAATTTGACCTCAGACACTTGACATTTACTAGCTGTGTGACCCTGGGCAAGTCACTTAACCCTGATTGCCTTGCCAAAAAAAAATTTTTTTTTTTTAGTGAAGGTATTTGTATGTCAAACTAAGAAGTCTGGATTTTTTTATTTGCAGTGGAAAAATCTACAAATAGTTTTTAGTAAGGGAATTAAGTAATCAAAATAGTTTTGTAAAAAGTTTAGTCTAGCAGGACTGTGTTGGTTGACTTGGAAGGGGCAGAAAAAGGTGGGAGGATAGGTGGAAGGTAGATAGACCATAAGATCATAAGGGTAGTAAGGTCAGGAGTAGAAAGGAAGAAAAAGAGATGAGAGAGATAAAGAAAAAATAAATGATAGATATTTGACACAAGGAGCTAAAATTTGTAGTCAGAAGATGACTGTTTTGAAGTTAGGTGACTGGGAAGATTGTAGTATCCCTTAGTCATGAAACGGAGAGACTTTTAGGGAGTGGAGGCATACAAGTATTTTGACATTTTTCAGTGAATGATCTTCTCACTCTTGAGAACACTACTTATTCAGGTCATTGTTTGAGATTCACAGAATGACCACAAATAAAGACCAAAGATAAATGAAAACCTTGACAAGTATGACAGATAGATAGACAGAAATGAACAAAGGAAGAGGAATGCGTGTTTACTATGTGCTAAGCATATAAGTAACAGCAAGCAAGATAATTCCTGTCCTCAAAGAGCTTATATTCTTGAAAGGGGTAGCTGCTACACACAAAAGGTGAGCTTGACAGGGTGAAGGGAGGCAATCTGTAATTCTGGTGACAGGCAAGGTAAAGCAGTAGCTCACCTATCAGGCCTGGTTTCCAGAGTTGGGCTGGGGTGGGGTGGGTGGGTGGCGATGATAGTTGGAGTTCAAGTGTGGAAATGGCCAAGAAGGAGCAACATATATTTACTTGGAGTTTATGAAGTAATAATTCATTTATATAGACTTCTATTTTTTGCCTTTTGTCCCAAAAATCTAGTACAGTGTCTTGCACAGTAAGTGCTTCATGTTTATTGAGTAACTAAAAATATATATCATATATCAGCTTTGTGTCATCATAATTCAACAAAATGTGATCATCCAAGTCATTAATACAAATTCTGAATATAACATAATTAAAAACACGATTCTGTGGCATTTCTCTTAAAACAACACACCATATTGAAAAATCTTCCGCAGTAGTACATGATTTTCTAAGCTTCGATTCCTTCCATCTCCCTATGCAAAAGCTTTGCATTGAATAGAATAGGTCATTAATTTTCCATCCTTCCCTTCTTTGTTTTACTTCAGAAAGAACCTCTCCATTTTAGTTTTCACATTTCTAAATTATGATCTTTACTCTCCAGTTCATTTTATTAGAATATGGTTCTCATTTCTTTGCATTTTTTAATTACTATTTACCTTTCATGTTAAATCCCAATTCTTCTTTGAAGCCTTCCAGACCACTCCAGGAATAGTTATTAGTTCCTGTAATATTTAGATCATTAATACTTGCAAACTAGAATTGGGAGGGATCTTAGGTATTTTGTTCTAAGTCTTTTCATTTTACAGGTGAATAAATTAAAGGTTAATTTGCTGCCCAACAGCTAGTAAGGGGCCAGACACAGACTAAAACCTGCATTTCCTTAGTCTCATTGTATTAATTTATCCATTAACATATATACCCCTATTCTACTATTCCTTTGGTAATAACCTGCCTTGTATTTTTGGTTGATCTTTTTTAATATGTATACATCTCATTTTCCTGCTAGATTTTAAGTTTTCTTAGGACACCAGCAAGGTTGGTGGTGGTGGTGGTTGTTGGTGGCGCTTGTCGTTGGAGAGGGGTTGGAAGAGTGGGGTTTATATCTGTAATTTCATCAGTGAAGGAAACTCCAATGGAAATTATTACTGAGGTTAAGTGACTTGCCCAGAGTCCTATGACTAGCAGCTAAGTTCTATACTTTTTTGGATTTCCTCTTCTCCTCCATCATATCAAGACCTAGATCCAGATTACTAGGTCCATGGCAGCTGACAAGATAAGCTACTGACCAAAGCATTCCTATGAATTACATATGTTTTGTTCAGCTCTTTACTTTTCTATATTAAAGCTTTACTATTAGATCATTAAAGCTTTAGTATTGGTTTGGACATTATGATTATTCTTTTCAGGAAAATCTCAGGTTCCATGATGAATATCACTGGCAAAAAGTTCTTGGGGAGAAGGAACTTATTCTTTGGACTTTCTCAGTAATTTTACCAGCTAAATAATATGTCAGCTTTCAGATATTTCAGTTGCTGTATTCACTAGTCACAGCTTAAAGTTACCTTAAAATATTCAGGCATTAGTTGTTGACTTTTCAGAAAGTAGATTACATTGCTTTTGTAAATTATAGCTTTAATTTACTTGAAAAGATAAATGGTCAAATACCATAATAACCATTCAGAATTTCATGTATTTCTCCAGAAAACAGCTCATTCAGGTATTAGGTTATCAAAGTACCTCTCCATTTGGTCTTACTGCCATCAGATCAACCTGATGAAATGGAAGATAGACACACTTAGAATGCATTTGAAAACACTGTGTGCAGTAATATCACATACAGGTACTAATTTTTAAAAAAATCTTCGTTCATCTCTAGCTGCCTTTCCACACCGACTGAATCTCTTTTACCTGGCCAATGATGTTATACAGAACTGCAAACGGAAAAATGCAATCATATTCCGCGAATCATTTGCTGAAGTGCTTCCTGAAGCTGCCTCTTTGGTGAAGTAAGTATTCTTTTGAGTTTTTAAAATTATAATCTAATTTCCTTTTGCACCTGACAAGAAAATAGGAGAATCTGCTTGAATGATATTTTTCCCCTTATATTTTATAATTTGCCGTTATGATTTATTTAAGTTGTGCCACGTATTTGTTGCTTGTCTACTCATTTATAATTTTCTTTATAATTTTCATGTGCATAGAATAATACTTTTCTTTAATGGATCCTTTTTTGATATGATTATCAAAGTGGTAGATGAGGAAAATTCTGGGGATATAGTGGACCTAGAATTTAGCAGAACCTTTGATAAAGTATTTCTTGTCCTTGTGGAGAGATTAAGACTAGACAGAAAAACAACTAGATAGAAGCAAGAAGATCAGTTAAAAGACAGGACTTGTCAACTGGCATTCCAGATGACTCATCCGTAGGAAAGACTCAAGGATGACAATGAGGTTGCAAACCTGTCAGAGTAGAAGGATAGTGATGACTTAATAGAAATAGGGAATTTTTTGAAGATTTATGTTTAGAGAGGAATATGCTGAATTCTGTTTTAGATATTTTGAGTTTGTAATTCAGTAGAAAATCCAGGTGGAAATGTCCAACAGTCAGTTATTAATATGGGACCGGGATTTAGGAAAGATTAGAACTAGTTATTGTATAGATTTAGAGTAATCTGCATAGGAATGATACTTGAAACCATGGATGCAGATGAGATCAAAGTAGAAAAAGAGAAGAGAACAGATCCCAACACAGAACCTTGGGTGAAGCGCATGTTCAGGGGCACAATGGTATGATCAAACAGGTAGCCAGAGAACCAGGAGAGAATAGTGCCACAGAAGCAAAGGGGGAAGAGAATTTTGGGGAGTAGGGGGAATGGGCATCAGTGCCAAAAGCTGAATTGTGAGGTAGGACACAAGCATGCAACTCACAGAGAAATGAGTGGGAGGTGAGTGACATTGGAGGCAAAGTTTTGTGAAGAATCTCTTCTAGGCTTTTGACTGAAAAGAAGAAGATAGAGGAGGTAGTTTAAGGAAATAACAGAATCCAGTGAAGATTTTTTTTTTTAAAGGATGGGGCAACCTGAGCATTTTATAGGAAAGAGATAATTAGCCCACGATTAAGGAAAGATTGAAAGACGTTTAGCTTGGAGAAGAGATGACTTGGGAGGAAGGGACAAATGAGGCTGTCTCTAGGTATTTAAAGGGTTGTCACCTGGAATGGGTTTGTTCTTCCTCATCTCAGAAAACAGTTAGTGCAAATGGGCAAGTTTAGGTTTAATATGAGAAGGGCCTTTCTCATAATTAGAACAGAGGGTTATAAAAAAGGGCTTGGGCTCCTTCAGGATATTAGTGAGTGCTATCCTATTCATTGAAGGACTTTAAGCAGGAGCTTAGTGACTTCTTGTCAGAGAGGTTGTGGAGGGAATTCTTTTTTAGGTGTGGGTTAGACCAGATGGCCATAGATGTAGGTTCTTTTCACCTAAAGTTTTCTATGGCAAAGATAAAAGGGACGTGATCAAGTTTAATAAAAAGAGCAAGTATTTACATAGCACCTACTATGTACCAAGCATCCTACTGAACACTTTATAAATATTACCTCATTTGATCCTCACAACACTCCGGGGAGGTAGGTGCTATTATATATTATAGTTGAGGAAACTGAGGCAATCAGAAGTTAAGTGATTAGCTTAAGGATAGAAAGCTATTAAGTCTGAACACAAGAAGAGTCTTCCAAAGGAGACAGATAGTCAAGTGGCATTCATTAAATACCTGTTATTGATTCAGGCACTGTGCTAAGGGCTGGGGATACAAAAAATGGCAAAAAAGAAGTTCATCATCTAATGGGGAGACAACATGCAAAGTATGTATACCAACAATATATACACAAAATAAGGAAAGCACTAAGGAGAACCGGGAAAGGCTTCTTGCAGAAGGTCGGACTTTATCTGAGACTTGAAGAAAGCCAGGAGGTGGAGATGAAGGGGTAGAGAGTACCAGGGTTCAAGAACACACATAAAGAGGGATTTGTGTGGGTGTGGAGAAAAGGGCCACTTCTTCCTTCTTCATTGCAGCAAAGGAGGAAAGAACAGGAGATGATAGCAGAGGGGATATAGTGTGGAATGGAGTAGAGAAAGGAGTTGGTGTCATTGATGTTGATTAATCAGTGAAGTACAAAGTCAGACTGTCTGCTGAGGGGGAAAGGAGGAGAAAGAGTGGTGGTTGAAGCTTAAGAGAGAAAAGGGGGGGGGGGACAGCTAGGCAGTGCAGTGGATAGAGCTCCGGCCTTGGAGTCAGGAGGACCTGAGTTCAAATCTGGCCTCAGATACATGACACTTACTAGCTGTGTGACCCTGGGCAAGTCACTTAACCCCGATTGCCTCACCAAAAAAGAAAAGAAAAGAGTTGGGGACCACATGGTAGAAGAGGTATGGAAGGAATGATAAAAAGATTGTTTACTTCTGTGGTATAACATTTGAGATTAAATAAATAATAGACATTGGTAGTGGACTCAATTATCACACAGTTCTGTGATTTCCTCTTGCGGAGTTCAGCCCAAGAGTAGAAGTCATTTCATGAGGATGTCACAGATACTTTGCAAACTAGAATTTTCAGACTAGCTGAACCCCAAGAGCCTTTCCTGCTCTAAAATTACATAGTTCCAAAGAGGGAAGACTTGAGAGTCTTGAAATTAGTGCCAAGGAGAAGGTAGCAACAGGAATAGTAGCTTCCATTCTTGTAGCATCTTACAGTTTACAGAAAGCCCTTTCTTCTGAACAACTTTGTGAGATTGATACTACACATATTATCATCCCTGTTTTATACTTAAGAAAACTGGGCTGGGAAGGGGGGTGAGGGTGATTAACTGACTTGCCCAGCTTTTATGACCTATAGGTTAGATTTGACCCACATCTTCTAATCGCCAAACCCAGAATTTTTTCCCTTGAATCATATGAGCTTTTCAAGGATTCAAGTGATCAGTGAAGATGGTGCTTTGGAAAAGAGACGGAAAGTTAATTGGGAAGGGCAGTTGTGGGGCAGATTGGCTGTGTTTTGGGACAATTTCGATGATAACCTGTGTTTCATGATATAAAAACCAGGCCATTGAAACATTCACCTCCATTATTGCCCAGGTACAGCCCTTGTTTGTCATTCTCCTCATTTAGCCCTTTGTGATTGATCTTCCTTTTCATTGCTCTTGATGTTTATTTTACTTCATTTTACCTGCTAACAGGTGGAAAGAATACTAAGGGTTAGGACAGGCCCACTTCCCCAGGTGCCCCTAAGTTGGGGATATGATTGAATAAATAAGTTGGGACCAGTTTGTGAAGTTAGAAAGTTGTACTCAGGAACAGAGTTTTTCTTTGTAAATTCTCATTAGAGAGAGAGAGAGAGAGAGAGAGTGTGTGTGTGTGTGTGTGTGTGTGTGTGTGTGTGTGTACAAACACACTTGTTGGTAGTAGATGTGAAAGGTAGAAGGTAAACAGACAATTCCAACAATTGCATAGACATAGACAATTCCAGCAATTATATAAATGAAGATAATTTTAAAGGACAGCAAAATTCAGTATTAGATATACATTCATCCTTTCTCTTAACAAACTGAACTGTAAGAAGGCACCAAAAAACCTTATACTCTTTGAGGTGGAAAGAATGGGAATCTAAAGGGATATCCGTAAGTAGGGCAATGGATGAACTGGTTATGGTGTATAAACGTGATGGAATACTAATGTATCTTAATTAATTATGTCCATGAATTATGTAATGTGAAAGATTCAGTTGGGAAGACAGTGGGGTTCTGTATAATGTTTCAAAACAAAATTTTAAAAACTTGACAACATTGTTCCATTATAAGAAAATATAGATAAACATAATTACAGAACACTTTTCACACAAATAAAGTCAGATCTAAAGAATTGGAAAAACATCAGTTGCTCATGGGTACGCCGAGCTAATATAATAAAAATGACAATTCTACCTAAGCTAATTTACTTATTTGGTGCTATACTAATCAAACTATCAAAAAATTATTTTATAAAGCTAGAAAAAATAATAACAAGATTCATTTGGAAAAACAAAAGGTTCGGAATATCCAGGAAAGAAATGAAAAGAAATGCTTGGGAAGGTGGCCTAGCCGTTCCAGATCTTAAATTGTATTATAAAGCAGCAGTCATCAAAACTACTTGGTACTGGGGCAACTATGTGGCGCAGTGGAGAGAGCACTGGCCCTGGATTCAGAAGGCCCTGAGTTCAAATCCAGCTTCAGACACTAGCTGTGTGACCCTGGGCAAGTCACTTAACTCCATTGCCTGGCCAAAAAAAAATAATCTACTTGGTACTGGCTAAGAAATAGAGTGGTGGATCAGTGGAGTAGGTTAAGTATGCAAGACACAATAGTCAATGACCACAGTAATCTGCTATTTAAAAAACCCAAAGATCCCAATTTCTGGGATAAGAACCCACTATTTGACAAAAACTGCTGGGAAAACTGGAAAAGAGTATGGCAGAAACTCGGCATAGACCAAAATCTCACACCATATACCAAAATAAAGTCAAAATGGGTTCACAATTTAGATATAAAGGCTGATACTATAAGCAAACTGGGAGAGCAAGGAATAGTTTACCTGTCTGATTTATGGAGAACAGAAGAATTTATGAGCAAACAGGAGATAGAGAACATTATGAAATGCAAAATGGATAATTTTGATTATGTTAAATTGGAAAGTTTTTGCACAAAACCAATGCAGCCAAGATTAGGAGGGAAGCAAAAAACTGGGAAAGAATTTTTACAACCAGTGTGTCTGATAAGGGTCTCATTTCTAAAATATATAGAGAACTAAGTCAAATTTATAAGAATGCCAGTCATTCCTCAATTAATAAAGGGTCAAAGGATAGGAACAGGCAGTTATCAGATGAAGAAATTAAAGCTATAGTCATAAAAAAATGCTCTAAATCACTATTGATTAGAGAAATGCAACTCAAAACAATTCTGTGGTACCACATCACACCT